TTTTATATCATGCAGTGTTCCTTTTCGCTATTCAGAGAAATGTTTCTTGGTCTACGCATAGGCTTTGCATACATACAATTAAGTGTTCTGAGATTCCTACACTTTTCAGTGTTATGATACACACAGTCAAATGCTTCTGCATAGTCAATAGCCCACTGAAACACCTTCTGTTTTTCTCTGCTATTAGCCGAGGTTCAACGGACATCAATAATGGTATCGCTCATAACACAGCCTCTTCTGACTCTAGCTTGAATTTCCCTGTCCAACAATTGTTACAGTGGTTTTTTAACAATATTCAGAGTTTACTTGTACATGCTATTAATGATATTGTCTGATAATTCCTACTCTTTGCTGCATCACCTTTTTGTGGAATGGAAACAAAAATGGGTCTCTTCCAGTCGGTTAGCCAGTTAGCTGTCTTCTAAATTAGCTGAGTTGGTAGGCTAAAGAGCACATCCAGGGCTGAAAGTTTGCTGAAAATGCTCAAATAGTATGCCATTAATCCCTGGGTCCTTATTATTATTATTTATTTTTTCTCCTTGTAAGTGTTTCAGTGCAGCTTGAATGTCTTCTTTCCCTATCACTGGTTCTGGATCATATGCTACTTCCTAAAACATTTCAGTGTTGACCAAGTCTTTTTGGTAGAGTGACTCTGTATTCCTTCCATCTTCTTGTGGTATTCCTGCATCTTTCAAGATTTTGTCCATAAAATCCTCCAGTGTGGCAACAACTCAAGGCTTAAATTTGTTCCTCCAATCCTTCTGCTTGAACAATGAAGACCCTGTTTTTCTCTTTTGATTGTCTAACTCTAGTACTTTGCACATTTCACTATAATACTTCTTCTTGAGCTGCTCCTTTTAATCTGTTCACTTCTTTTACTTCAAGTCTTTAATTTTGGCCTCTCTACTTTCTAGCACAATTTGCAGAGGCTCTTCTGAGATGTATTTTGGTCTTTTCTTTCGTTCTTTCCTATTTTTTAAGTGACCTTTTGCCTTTTTCACAGATGTTGTTCTTAATGCAAAATCACAACTCATCTGGTCTTTGCATTAAGATCTCTATTTGAGATAAGCATTTACAATTCAAAGGAGCTCTGGTGGCCTAGTGGCAAGAAGCTGCATTGCAATCCCGAAGGCACAAAGAATCCACCAGCTGCTCTGAGGGAGAAGGATGGGCAATCTCCTTTTGTGTGATTAAAAGCCTTTGGAAACCTGCTGGGTCAACTATGGGTCACTGCTGAATTGATGGTACACAACAACAACAACATTCATAATTCATTCTGCTAAGGTTAGTTAACAGACAAGTTACAAGAAGTGGAGAGGTCCACAGTGTCCCAGATGTTTGACTTGCTGTGTAACTCCATGATTCCCAACACCAACAGTCTCTCCTTTGTTCAGTTCCCTCACTCTTCTATCTCCTCTGTGTTTGGTGGTTTGCTCGAAGGTATTCCAGACTCAGACTCATCAGGCCAGTTCTGCAGAGATTAGTGAACACTGTAGACTAGAGAGAAAGACTGTAGAAAAGCTGCATTGACGCTAGTAAGCTGGAGTCCCCAAAAGAGAGCTAGTCTAGTAATGAAGTCCCAGGAGCTTACATAATAAGCCTTACATAAGTAATTGATGGTCTGTTCTAGTCAGCCCCTGGCCTTGTTTTGCCTAATAGTGAGCTTTGCCATGGTCGTTTCCCACATATATGGTTTATCTGATTACTGTGTAGTCTTTTAGGTAAGATCCATGTGTATAGTCTCCAATTATGATTTTTTTTTTTAAAAAAGAAGGTATTTGCAGTGAATAAATCGCTGATTGTACAAAATTTTATTATTCAATCTCCAGCCTCATTTCTGATACTAAGGCTGTATTTTCCAACTATCAGTCCTTCTTTGATTTACAGTCACCAATTACTAATGCATCTTATCTTGACTGCATGTCCAATTAACAATTACAAAAGTTGATAAAAATCCTTAATTTCTTCTCTCGTCTTGTGGCTGGCATGTATATCAGTTGTATTAACAGGTTGTCCTTCTATGTGTATGGATAGTATCCTATCATTTCAGCATTGTACTTCGAGATAGATCTTGAAATGGTCTTTTTGACTATGAATGTAACTCCACTCTTCTTCCATCTGTCATTCCTAATATAAGCGATTATATGATTGTCTGATTCAAAGTGGCCAATACCTGTCTGTCTCAGCTAAGTATTATCCTGGATGTCAATCTTTATGCTTCCCATTTCCTTTCTGACAACTTCTTATTTTCTTGGATTCATACTAGATTTTTTTTATGGTTAAAACTCGTAGAAAAGAGTGGAAGGGAAAAGTTGCAAGAAATGATCAAAAGTAGAAAATAGATGGGCAAGAGAGAAACTGGCATTATAAACGGCAGCGTAGAAAGAACAGAATCAAGTTTAAGATTTATAAATACAGACAATACGCTAAAATTTAGTGTACTCAAGATCTCTGAAATAAGGATCATCAAGACTGAAATGTGTTCCCCATTCTACCTCCCATATGTACCTAACTGCTTGGTTATCTGGTGTATAGAGACCAGCAATGTTGTTATTCAAGAAGATAAAACCAACTGAATACAAGATGTATCTAGAAGGGGTTGGTGATGTGGTGAGCAGCATGATGGGACTGTTAACCAAATGATGGAGTTCAAAATGCTCACTGTTGAGAAAGATGGGCAATTTCCAGCCTTAATACCTGACAGATGGTCATTATGGATCAGACAGGAAGATAGTAGTTTTGGTTTTGGGGTTTGAAATAGAAAACTAAGTAAATTAAATAATTAGTTGAAAAAAAAAATCATGAAAAATAAAAAAGTTGAGTAAGCTGCAATGATGATTATTCTGGGAACACTGTATACCACTAACTACAGTTCTCACACAGATGGTATTGTGAAAACAGATATAAGGGTATATGTTAAAAATCTTCATTTTCTATAATGGGAACTGAATAGACACTGCAAATACTAAAAAAAGGAGGGGGGGCTGCTCAGAAGCAGACTAACATGCCTTTTTTTCATAGGACATCTGTGGGTTTGCACCACAAACCTTACAAGGAGTAGTAGACAAATACTTTCCTCTTTGTCCCATACAAAGACTCATTCCATTTTAAAAATTACTTACCTTTGACTGTTAGATTGAAGCAACCAAGTCTATCACCAGATAATGAGTCTGCACCACATTGCAATACGACAGCACTAGGTTGATACATCTCCATCACTTTTGAGATAATCTATGTGGAAGATAACAGATGTTATCTCTAATCTTTCAAAACTGCATTTCAATTTTGACAAAAATCATACTTACTGGCTTAAATATCTGCCCATATGATTCATCATCTATACCATCTCTCATTGGAAAATTAACAGCATAGTATTTGCCTTTTCCTGCACCGATATCCTAAAAGACAGTTAAACAACTCTTTGAGAATATGGCAAACTAAAACATCTGGCTTACTTCTTTATTCTTAATTAGTAATTTATCTTATAGACTGACAAAGGTATTTCAAATGGAAATAAATATTGATTAAATGATTAAATTCTCACAATTTGTTTGATTTCCTTAAAGCCTATGAGACTGTTTCCGAATAACCTATGATTTTTCAGAGGAAAAGGAATTTAATGTAACAGTTAAGGACAATAAGAAATGATATAAAACATAGCATAAGTTTACTTTTAATCCATTACTATTTACCTTCATCATTAGTTATTATGCCCCAACTTCCAAAAGGAAAAAAAAACACAAGTGAAACAGCACACTTCTCACCTGAAGTTTTTCTTAAACAAAGCTACATTTTTATACAGTTAGCTACCAACTAATGAGCTCTGGTAGCGCAGTGGTAAGGAGTTGTGCTGCAAGCCTGAAAGCACTTTGTTAAAAACTATCAGCTGCTCTGCAGATGAAAGATGGGTAATATCCTACCAAGCAATTTACTAAGCCTCTGAAAACCAGATAAAGGTCAGTTCTGAGTCAGGTCCAACCAGACAGCACGTAGTATCAACTACCAACTTTTCTTCCCTCTATCTTATTCAAGGTCTAACTTTCACATGCGTACAAGGCAGCCAAAAATACTACAGCTTGAGTCAGACACATCTAAGTCAAGTTTAAGTGGATATTCTTGCTATTTAGCACTTTAAAGAAGTCTTTGACAGCATAATTTCAAGATATGTTCTTTGGGTACATTGCCAGCACTTTGGAAAAGACTTCCTGCTTGGAAAAGTAGGTGGTCAGTGAAAGAGGAAGATCAATAATACATTTTTATTTTTTGATAACTGCTACCATACATGTGGATCTTAGTAAAATGAAAATCTTAACAGCTTCAATCTTTTTTAAATCTATCTATCTATCTATCTATCTATCGTTCTGCAGGAGAAAGATGGGGAATCTCCTACAAAGCAATACACAGCCTCTGAAAACCTGCAAGAAAGGTCAGCAATGAGTCCGTTCCAACTTGACAGCACATAACTACAAACTAGAGAGCTCTAGTGAGTTGCCCTCCAGCCTAAAGGCATGTAGTTCACATCCACCATCTCTTCTCATCTGCAAACAGGACTTATTCTGATATGAAGAATTCAGAACACGAAGTCACTCTACCTCAGAGTTGACAACTCGAGGCTGCCACTTCTGTTGGACTCTTTGATCCTTTCATTCTTCATTTCCTAACTGCTTTTCATCTTGCCTCTATATTTTGTTTCCATGTAGACTAATGATCTAACTAAAGCAAGTAGAGTTAACAACTTGGGAGTTATCTTCATTTGAAGATAACTCTTTTTCTCATTCATACAATATAAACCTAATTTTCATTTGAAGATATCTTCATTTGAACTTGGGAGTTATCTTCATTTCCACTTTAAAAATTTTAAGATAAGAACAATGTTTGTTGCTATACATTTAAAAACAATATACACAAAAGTTCCTGAGAATCCAAATCCATCTATACATATATCATGATGTGTATTTTTCATTCTCCACAGAATTTTAGGGTTATATTCATAATATTCAAAGAAAAACGTCATTAAACAATTATCATGGTAAATAAAAGAAAACACTTAGGTTGTCACAGACTTCATTTTACTTAGAGCTACAAGTCCATGGAAGCAGCACTTGAAGAAATGAGGGGGGAAAAAAAACCCACCCCCAAAAAACAAAGAAACAAACTCTTGTACTTGGCATATCTGCTGTAAATATCCTCTTTAAAGTGCTAGAGATAAAAAAAAAAGTGCAAAAGATCAAGGGTATCACTTTGATGACTTAGGTGCACCCAATCCACTCATAGAACTTTTAGTCACCTCCTATGCATGTCAAAGGTGGAGAAAGAATAAGGAAGACTGAAGAAATGATGCTTTGGAATTGTGAAGGCAAAGAATATTTTTACCAGGGGCTGTCAAAAGAATAAACAAATCTCTTTTGGAAGAAGTACTGCCTGACTGCTCCTTTGAAGCAAAGGATGGCAAGATTTTATTGTCAGTATGTTATTAGGGGCATTAGTTTACTGAGAAAGACATCATGCTTGGTAAGGCAGAAGGTAAGCAAAAATAAGAAAGACACAACAAGGCAGAAAGATACGGTGGCCACAACAGACTCAAACACAGCAGAAATTATGAGATTGAAGGATCAAGGAGTGTTTGCTTTTGTACACTTAGGGTATATTTAAGTCAGAACCAACTTGATTACAACAAATAACAACAAAGCAAAAAATTACTTGCAGAATGGCATTTCATATGTTAATTTTAAGTTCTTAAAGAGAATAGATGTTGAAAGACATTTTAAATGTTTCCTAAAGCATTTTTTCTTTATTATTTTCAGATTACTACAAACAGATAAAAGAATTATGAACGAGAATTGAATTCTGCTGGCGTAGTGTTAAGGAGTTGCACAGCCAACGCAAAGGAAGATGGTTCAAGTTCAACAGCTGCACCATGTAAGAATGATAATCTCCTCTAATGCGATTAACTGCCTCTACTGGAAGGTCAACTATGAGTTGGATCCAACTTGAGGGTACATAACAATAACTGAGAAGAGACCAAGAGACTACAGTGCCATCTATCTACTACTTAAAATTAACTTCTAAGATTAATTAGGTTTATATTGTATGAATCAGAAAACTGCACGATGATTAAGGATGACAGAAGGAGAACTGAAGCCTTTGAGCTGTGGTGCTGGAAAGAGTACTGAATATACCATAGACTACCAGGAGAACAAACAGGTTTGTCCCAGAGATGGGGAAACCAGGCGGCTCCTTGGAGGCAAGAATACTGAAGCTCTGTCAGACATACTTTGGGCTTGCTGCAAGGAGTCAACACTCTTGGTACCAGCAGCCACGAAATCAAGAGACGAACTGCATTGGGAGTCAGCTGTCAGGGACTTCTCCAGAGTACTGAAGGGCAACAATGTCAGTTTGGAGACTAGGTGACCCTGATCCAAGCCATCGTCTTCACAATTGCTTGCTATGCATCAGAGAGCTGGACAATGGACTAGGGATGACAGAAGGAGAATTGATGCCTTTGAGCTGTGGTGTTGGAGAAGAGTTTTGAATATACCATGGACTGCCAGGAAAACAAACACGTTTGTCCTAGAGAGGGTGAAGACGGCTGGCTCATTGGAGGCAAGGATTCTGAAGCTTCGTCTGACATACTTTGGGCATGTTGCAAGGAGGGACTGGTCCTTGGAGAGGGACATCATGCTTGAAAGA